TTGGATAATCTACAACTAATGGCCTCCTCTAGAGTCTAAACTTAGCCATCAGAGATTCTATTATTCTACAATCTAGAACCTTTTTGTAGAATACTATGAATCTCCGATGGCTAAGTTCAGGCCAAGCACTCATACTTACCTTGTATGAGGTCCCAAGCCCAAGCGCTGGCAAGAGCCAAAAAAAAAAAAAAAAAAAGAAGAACAAAGAACGAAGGACCTGGGACAGATCGCGGGATCAAATCCCCCCTCTTTTTCAGTTCGACATGGTCGATCTGCACCCCGTCTTTGGCTTCTTGGTTGTACTTGAGTCGGTAGATGACATGGTCTTCCTCTTCCGTGGCAGTACTTATCTTTGACGATGACCCTGTCCATGTCTGCGTAATCATATTCTTGGGGGGAGAATGCATCTTCGTCTTGCCCGTACGTAGATGCTATGTTGGGCATTTGCGATGAGACCGCCATGCATGGAACCTTCGAACACAACTCTCCCGGAGCATCGCACACATCTGAGACAGGCAGGGGGTACGAAGTCCAAAAATAGCCTCAGTAGCCAACTACCAACCATAATTGTCTTCTTCATCACCTCCAGCTATGGCCACCCAACTCGACACGAGGGTAAGCCTATCTCTCTGATATACGCTCAATCGAGCGATGTATATGGAGCCAAGGATCCGCAAAGTGATGAATAGGACTCGAATGGACAATGCAGCGTCGGCAAAGCATCAACAAGTGAAGTACATCCAGATACATACGAAAATAACATAATGTAGCGCAACGGAAGACTCAAAGATATGACCTGAGCTGTCAGATACTGACGCGACACCCCATCATACACCACACATGGGAGAGAGAGGGAGGGACCGCATACATGGAAGAAGGTCCCTCCTTGAGCACGCACATGGGGAGATACCACGGATGAGGAGATGGGGGAGAGGCGAGACGAAGATGGAGGTGAGGGGGAAGACCAAGATCGCGATAGCGAAGTCCAAAAATACTCTCCCTGCCGAATGTCCAATCAATGTCTGCCACAAAATGTCAAATCAGATCCTTGGCCTCATGGCCCGATGTAACCTCTGCCTGTAACCTCTCTCTCTCTCTCTCTCTCTCTCTCTCTCTCTCTCTCTCTCTCTCTCTCTC